GTGTGTGTGTGTGTGTGTGTGTGTGTGTGTGTGTGTGTGTGTGGTAATGGTGTTGAATTGTGTTTAAAGAAAGATTCGGATCTCAGTACTGTGAATGCTTAATCAGCAGTCACACTAATGAGCTAGCCACAGAAGGAAGTAGATGCCAAATCCAAACAAAGAATCCTTATAACTTATAGATGTTTCCACCCAAAGTCCAGCGCCCTAAGGCTTTACGAACAACGATGAGAGAGAGAGTCAGAGCCATAATCCAGAACATGTTAGATGAGCTGCTACAAGAAAGCTTCAAGCAGCTAAAGACAGAAGTTGGTGAGGTAAAGGAGGAGGAACCATCATGAATGACCCTGCCTAGGATGCACCATGGCTAACATTAAAAAGTCCTATCAATGGCTAGAAAAGGCTATCTTAAAGGACAGCACAGAACACGTCCTAAGGACCAGATCCATTGAGGCAGGAGTCACACACACAGCTGGACCCAAGTTCCAGATTGTGCAATGTGGACCCAGAGACATCCAACACACAATAGAAGGTTGTAGCCAATTGTAGTGTAGTGATTGGGACAGTGTACAGAAATAATTGTACCATAAATGAAATAAAAGTCCCCAACTCCTGATGGGAGACACCACCAAAGGTGGTTGAGAACAATATGAGTAAGGTCATGTTGGACTTTTGAGTTCTGGATGGACCAGCAGCTCCTGGCGAACGAGATGGATATAGTGATGCTTGACAAGCAGCAGAAGACGGCAGTTGTGATAAATGTGGCAATCCCAGCACACAGCAACAATAGAGGAGTAGAGGGGCTGAAGGAGTTACTGGGGCAGACGTAGAGGGTAAAGTCAAAAGTGGTCCCAGTGGTAATAGGAGCATTAGGAGCTGTAACCCCCCAAACTGGAAGAGTGCTTCCATCAGATTCTTTGCACAACTCAGAGGTTTCTGTCTAGAATAGTGCAGTCCTAGGAACAACGAGACACTGCACAGGACCCTCAAACTCCCAGGCCTCTGGTGGAGAGGCTTTAGAACTGGGGTGTCCAACTCCAGGCCTCAACAGCCGGTGTCCTGCAGGTTTTAGATGTGTCTTTGACCCAACACAGCTGATTTAAATGGCTAAATTACCTCCTCAACATGTCTTGAAGTTCACGAGAGGCCTGGTAATGAGGCCTGGCAGGGTTTAATAAGAATATTTTCTTCTTCCTGCTCCTTTTCACACATGGTTGTAGTGCTTTGTTGATAGAAAGTGTGGTTGGTTTGTTTGATCTGTTTTACCAAGTGTGAAATAAATAAATAAATGAAATGAAATAAAATGAAAACCTGCAGGACAGCGGCCTTTGAGGCCTGGAGTTGGACACCCTTGCTTTAGAAACACACACTTACCAGTAGGGCTACGATGGATACATTGGATGATGATATTAAAACATCTACCTTTTCATATTATACTCTATCATTTATGTCATGCTGTTGCAAAACACACTGTTTACTGCAAGATATTTTTCATTGCCTATGAAATTATGCCATCAACGCAAGTATCATGTGAAAGAGTATGGAGAGAGTTTATGAATAAGAAGCAAAAAGTTGTCAGGTGCTAACAATAAACCACAAACCCAAACGTTAGAACAGGCTGCCATATATATATATATATATATATAATCTTAACAAAAAACTTTATTCTTTCAGACCTGTGTTATTTGAGTGAGAGCCTTTGCCTCAACATATGAATCATGACTCCATGTTTGCAGGCTAACACAGGCCAAATGGATGACCCTGATAAACAATGGACCATGGTGTGCAGCAATCTGGCACTTATTCAGGTAAGGTATGCCGGGGAGAAATTTACACCCAAAATATGAAAAGAGTAAATAATGGGCTGGACTGTCACTGTTCAACAGTTCAGGACTCCTGTCTTCAGTTTGCTCTCTGCATTGTGTTTAAGTACAAACTCACTCCACTTCAGTTTTTTAGGCTAAACGATTCCTGAAGCCATTTTTCTGAGAAAAATGTGCCAAAAAAATTCACTCATAAAAATTGCTGCTTCCTACATCTGTCCGCCAGTGTTCTGAATGTTAAATTCACTATCCTACTGTAGCCGGGGCCTGACGCTGCTGTGCTCTGTCCTGTTTCGGCAGGTCCAGGCCACAGTGGTAGGATTCCTCGCCGCAGTGGCAGCAATTTGTTTAGGGGCGATTTCCAGAGGAGGCATTGAACTGGAACAAGCAGCTGTCCTGTGCGCCAGCAGTATCACCACCGCCTTTGTAGCTGCTCTGTCTTTAGGTAAGTAAGCTGCGGGGATGTTCTTTATTTGGAAATTCGAATAACAGTCAGTTATTCTAGCATATAGTCACCCAAGCATACAGTTTCGTTTAGGGGTCAGGGGTCAAATCGGAAGCTGTAACTATAGAAGAACCAGATGAAGCATTCACTCCAGAGTACCAGCTGTACTCACATTCTTCATGATGTTATGATAGTCAAACTAGACACATAAAAAAGGCACCATCAGTACCTCCTGACAGAGGAACTTTCTGATTGGATGTAAGATACATAGTTCTAAATAGCTCTATATAGCTTTATTATCACTTTGACCTTCAGATCAATCTGTTGAACTTGAGGTCAGAGGTCAAATGTGTCATGATATTTTAATTTTTATACAGGACTTTCTATATGTGGGCAATACACACCACACGTGTAATAATCATAGTTTCTATGCTATAAGGCTTTTTGCCAATTTTCAACCAATAAATAAAGTTGACTTTGAAGACCTCGGTGGATTTAATAGGTTGTTAACATGACCCCACTCCACACTCCCACAAGGTTTTCTCAGAATTCACAAAAAACTTTTCAAGCTGTCATGTTGACAGACAGAACGACACACACCCATGCAAATGCTACCGTTTTTAAGGTCTTAATTTAAGCTGCTAGGTGTGAATGTGATTCGTTGTAACTATAACAAACAATACGTAACAGTTTGACAGTTATACAAGCTAATGTTATTATTCTGACAGTGTTTTAGGGTGGCTTCTCATTGTTGTGAAACAAATTTCAATCAAACAGCTTTCATCTGTGCGCCTGTCCTTATATTACCCGTCTCAGCATGCACTCCCCGAATAATCCATAATTCATGCTCACCTTAAGTGTTCTGGTGTTAAGCAGGACTGATGCGTGAAGGAACAAAACTGTCCTTGTTTCATTTTCTGCTCTGCAGGGGAAACCTCGTCACTGTCTCTCTCTACACTGTCATTTCAGTTTCTCTGTAATTCGTTTTTTTACTCATACCCTTTTGTTTTTCTTTTCTCTTTCCAGGCCAGCTATCACTCTGTGAGACAGGTTGGCGTGTTGACAGTTGTCTTTGTTGATATAGAAAAACGAACAAATTCCAGCTAAAAGCTTCCGTCAGCATTCTGTTGTCTCACAAACATGATGAAAGAAGCTGAATTGGCTCTTTCTTTCTACAGTTGTGTTTTCCCTGTATGTTGATTGAAAGTGTAAGCGTCTCACGTCTTTTGTGTTTCTGTCCCTTCACACTCTGTTGTGCAGGCCTGGTGATGATTGGAGTGATCATCGGCTCGAGGAAAGTGGGAATCAACCCTGACAATGTGGCCACTCCCATTGCTGCGAGTCTGGGGGATTTGATCACCCTGTCCCTGCTGGCTGGGGTCAGCAGCGCGCTCTATGAGTATAAAGGTGAGGAAAAAGCTGAGATGTCAGTAGCAACTATATGATCTCAAGCTCACTGGGTTTCACTAAAGTTCCTGGCTTTTTTTTACTTTTAACTGTGCGTATTTTTCCTTATATTCACAAACCTATGGCTGGATTTTAAATTTCATTTTTCACACAGCTTAGAATTGACCTTTGGAGTATGTCCAGATCAGCATCCAGAATTTACAAAAAAATTAAATAATAATAATAAAATTAGTTTCTAATATTACAGATCACTAGCACTGCTATTGTTGATGTCTGTGTGTGTTTGTTTGGATGTGATGTCCTAGGTGTCGCCCTCTGGTGATCTGTGAATTTGGTTTGTGGCTGTTCGCCTCCTTAGCTCTACCCACTTGTTCTCCTTCATGACCCAGCCTTTGTGCTTGATCTGTTTTGGTTGCATGTTTTCTTTTTTTTCTTTTTTTGTTAATAAATGACATCTCTCAGAAAGTAAATGGGTGTTGTGTTACAAGCCACGGCCTTAACACAGTTTATTGTTTGAGATAACGGTTGTGGCCCCGGGGCTGCGTAGCACGGTGCTTCAAACGAGGCAACACAGGCTTTTTAAATTCATCCCATTGGTGCTGCTACTAAAAATCTTAGATGAGGTGAAATCTTGGACAAGGTCAGAGGTCAGTTTTTCTGATAGTCTTGTGAGTGTAATAACTGAAGAAGGAAATCACCTAAGTTTTCAAATTTATACCATAGATGCCCTCGGCTGGGAGGCTGAGGGGTAGCACTGGTGGCTGCCAGTGACAAGTGAAAAACAAGTGATACAGGGTATTTTGGTGCCCTTGAAATTTGGAAGGAAAGATTTAACTGACTTTTTTCTGCCAGAAGATGGCAGCAAAAGGCAGATTTTTCCACACACACTGTGAGAATGCACTGTGTATACACAACACACACTGTAGTGTGTGTGCACTGTGTATCAAAATGACACCCTGAGACATTGATACACAAAAAAAGGGTGATTATAGATGTGTTCCTCTGCATCTAGTTATTTGGCATATGTGATGTAAATGTACATATGTGTGAAAACCCTCCCAAGGGTTTAATAAAGTTTTATTTAATCTATTCTAATCTAATAACTTCAATCTCAGCCAAACCGATTTACTCAGGAACAAATAAAAACACTGAAATAAGTCAAACAATAACATTTTTAGGTTATCTAAGTGAGTTATATATCATGTTTAACCTGAGTAGCGAAAGACCGCGGGGGTTTGAAAACGATGTGCTGGGAGTTCGCTGTTCTCGTCGGTTCAGATATTTAAAGTTTACACAGCTACATTCTTGCCTGAAAATATGCTAAAAGTTTATATTGTGACCCAGAAAGTTTTAAATATTACTCTTATTACTCTAAGTAGCTGCCGCCATTGTTGGAAACTGGAATTGGCTGGGCCGCGCTATGAATTCTGGGATATGGTTTTTCAATTCTGTTGTCCGGGTGGAAAATCAGGAGAAATTCGAGAGAGTGGTGGCTCAAGGAGATTTTCGGGAGGAGCATTGAAATTTGTGATTCTCCCGGAAAAATTGAGAGGGTTGTCATGTATGTGTACAGGGGGGATAAAATGCCAGTATCATTTACATCACAGACTTACTGTATATGTAGTATAAAACTGTAAAGCCTTTAATGTTGTGTTGAATAACATTTTTCATACCCATGCAGACATGCCCATAACTGACTGGATTTGTCTCCTTTTTTTCTTTCTTTCTTTGGAGACCTTCAGTATAATGTCTTTGTCTCTCTGTCTCTCTTTTTTTAGACATATGGTACCTGTCACCTATGGTGTGTCTGGTCTTTCTCTGTCTCATCCCGGTCTGGGTGTTGGTGGCCCGACAAAGCCCTCAGATCAGAGAGGTTCTCCGTTCAGGATGGCAGCCCGTAATAGTGGCCATGTCCATTAGCAGGTAGACACTCAAACACTTAATCTAGAATAATAATAAACAGCACTTTATATGTGAATAGATTTGTTTTTTGTGTGTTTATGGCTCTTGCACATATACAAGCCTATTAAAAAGTATTTTTTATGACGTATGAAGTCTACTCTTACTTCTCCTATAAGAATTAACAGGCTGCTGCTTAGCCCTATAAAGTGTGAGCAACTTTATAGAGATCTGGATCATTCATGTGTCAAAGTGGAAAGACATTAACAATCATCTGAGAGGAGCTATTGTTGCTGCCCATCAATCTGGGAAATACTATAAGGTCATTTCCACAGCAATTTGATGTCCATCACTTAACTGCCAATCTTCCCAGAAGTGGAGTGAAGAAGCTGCAAGACCTCAACAAGCAACACATCTTGTCCTGATCTAAAGAAACAGCTGAGCAACAAAATCAATGACATATATCCAGTGGCAGTCTGGAAAGGGTTACAAAGCCATTTCTAAGACTTTGGGACTTTGACAGAATGAAGGTGACTGTGAGAGCCATTGTCCACAAATGGAGGACACTTGGACCAGTGGTGAACTTTCACAGGAGTGGCTGACCTACCAAAGCTAGTGCAATAGACCAACGTCTCATCACGGAGATCACAAAATAACCCGGAACAATATCTAAAGACCCGCTGGTCTCAGTTTAGGTCAGAATTCATGACTCAACAATAAAAAAGACGCTTGACAAAAAGTTCCAGGGAGAAAACCACTCCTGACAAACATGAGCACATCTTGATGATCGCTGAGACTTTTGGAAAAATATGCTTTTTGGAAAGTTTGAGTCCCGTTACGATTGGCATAAAACTAACAAAGCATTTAATTAAAAAGAACGGTATACCAAGTGTAGTGTGACAGTCTGGAATTGCTTTGCTGCTTCAGGATTCGGATGACTGAAGCAGCAAAACAATCCCATGATGGAACCATGAATTCTGCTCTCTACCAGAAAATCCCGAAGAAGAATGTCTGGCCATCAGTTTGTGCCCTGAAGCTCAAGGGCACTCAAATTATACAGCAGGACAATGATCTAAAACACACCAGCAACTCCACTTCGGAATGGCTTAAAAGGACAAAATGAAGGTTTTGGAGTGGTCTAGTGACACAAATCCTAAAAGCAAAAGAAGAGAGAGCCAACATTCCTCCACAACGATGGGAACGAGTCACTGCCAGTTATCACAAATGCTTCCTTGTAGTTCTCACCGCCAATGATGGCACAGCTGCTTATTAGAATTAGTGGCTGTTACTTTTGTCTGTAGGGCAGGTAGGTTTGGAGAGCTTTTCATTTAAAAACAGCATCTGTGTTGACTGGGGTTACATTGGTCTAATAACATTGGTTTGATGATGTGAACTCTGTAAGTGTGACAAATATGGACCAAAACTAAGAAATCATGCATCACGCTGTATGTACAGCATATAAGTACATAGGTTGTATTGCTGTGTTGTGATTGCCTTTGTGTTTGTGCTGTCCAGCTTTGGAGGCCTTATACTGGACAAGACAGTGAGTGATCCCAACTTCGAGGGTATGGCTATCTTCACTCCTGTCATTAATGGTAAGCAGGTCTCTAAAAAGAAACGGTGCCACATGTAATTACTTGAACATGTCTGTACAAATGCCTGTGCGGTAGTTGATGACAGTGAGTTTCTGTGTGTCAGCCAGCTCAAAGTTGTAGGAAGTTGAGATCTGTGTCACATGGGTATAGTAATAAAATTTGAAAAAGTGCTGCAGTTAAATCAAATGAGCTTAAAATTTAATGTCAAACTCTCATTTGATTTAGAAATAGTGATAGCTGCTCATGTTCGGGTTTGTTGTGCATGAGCACCACAGTAAGCACAGATTTAACAGCACAGTCCACCTCTCGGGGCACGGCTGAAATATTTCATTTTACCAGGATTTGAGTGCATCTAAAATCCCCATCCAAATACTTTGACTTGATCAAAGGATTTTTCTTTATTGATTTCCTTCCAAGAAAACTGTAAACGCTACTATTTTGTGTGTTTAACAGCTCTGACGTCTGACATTAAAAAGCTGTAAACACGGAAGAAAAATATAAATGTGGTCGGTGGATGACCCATCCAGACTGGCTGGATATCAGTGTTCAGTGTTTTTCTACATAATCCTATTTAATTTGAAAACTGAAGCCATATTTCTCATAATATTAAAATCTTGTCTAAACACAGGAAGCAGGACAAGAACTTTGCTGAAGTAAAATTTTGAATTTGGCAACAATTTTGTTTATATTCACCGCCAAAGCACTAAGAACATATTATGTAATACCAATTGGGGGCATTCAGAACAGTCTAAATTACCATGCATGATGACCTCTCCTCAAGTACTTGAGCCTTTTTTTTCCAAGTGGATGTTAATTGCCATTGTGAAATGAACTGAAACCAGCTGCTAGCGGGAAACCAGTCTAAAATCATATGTGATGCTTCGGAAAATGTTCAGCCCTAATGTTAAAGTACACATGATTTGAAGTTAATGGGCTAAAACCTGAAGAACTGCCAAAATGTCCTGTAAATGAAGCCTTAAAACCACTGGAACATTTGAGAAGAACCAACTTTTTCCTTATGCACCAGAGCCATGATGTAAGGGCATCAAACTGCTTTCGTGCATCTTTTGGAAACTCAATTTCTATGTTGTATTTTGCTTAATCAGAGTTCTTCTTTCACCAAAATATAATCACTTGTACCTAAAATGCAATATTTTGTGATTTTAAAAATGGAAAAGAGTGAAGAATAAATCTAGTTTCTCACCTATTTGACCAACTATTGAAAGCGAAGCAGCCAAACAGGGATATGGTTCTAAATTATAGACTGCAGATAAAAGATGGACCTAGCCAGCATGACATCAACTACTGGTTTGTGGACGACTGTTTTAAAGTTTGAAGTTTGGTTTCTTGACTCTAGCTTTTTCTTTTATATTTGGAAAAGGGCTTAGCATGTAGGGCTGTGCAATATGAACAAAATCTCATATCCCAATATAAGACATCTATCGTCCGATAACGATATAAATCACAAAAATGTAACATTTTCTGTAAATTCTGTGAATCTCGGGCAGCTCGACTTGCGGGAAGTGTTTCCAGCTGCGCGTCATGTAGCTGGAATCGAGTCTTTTAACAGATGCATGAAACTATACAATTTTAGACATAAGTTGTAACAGCCGCCATTTTCTTTGTGAGTATTTATTACACGGCGTGCTGCGGGGAAAAGCCTGTTCTAACGTTTGAGTCTAAGGTTTATTTTTTAGCACCTGGCGGCTCTTTTTTACTTCTCTTTTAACAGGATCTTGAGCTTTATTGTGAAAGGTTTATGTGGAACATAAACAAGCGGACACGGATGGTGTTACCGTCGTTGTTGCTAACAACAACGCATAAAAACAGGCGCTTGTCTGTCCGTAGTGTGGTTATATTAAATATAAGAGAAAAAGAGAACTTTAAGAAATTAATATAGCCACTACAGTGAGTGACCATCAAAACAATGAAAAAATATTGCCGTAAACAGTTTATTTTCCGACACCACGAAACAAACGATAGCGTAAAATGAAACGATAGACGTTTTTATATCGTCATCCGATATATATCGTTATATCGAACAGCCCTACTAGCATGCTAGGTCATCAGCTAACCATTTGGGAAGACCTAGCAGGCACTTGGTACCGTATAACTGCCTACAGTATAAATATTGTTTGTTTTATTTCTTTTTTTTATACCTGGCTATAAACATATTATTTCTGCTTTAAAATCAACCATTTTAACATCAGTGTTGGAGCTTGCCATAACTGGACAGGAACTACAGTTTCTTCATTCCCATATTGTTTGACTTAATACTATTATCTTACAATAAAATAAAATAAATGCTCTTTTGATGGGACTACTAGCTTCTACTTAGGTCGTTTACTTTTGAGGATGCTGACTTTATCTACATCACCTTTGCTGTTGTGTCAAATAAGAAGAGAATAAGAAGAACCAACTGTCAGAGTAGCTACAATCACAAACAAAACAGCCACAGACAACATTTGAAAAGGTCGAGCGTTGCAACAGCAGCTGAGTAGACTTGGCAAACTATTTGTGGTCGATTCAATTGTGCCATTATAATGATGCAAATACATGAGTAATAAGATGCAGCAAGTCAAGCTACTCTTTTAGAGGCAAGCATAAAAAACAAACAAAAATTTAAAAATGAAGCTAAAAACTGCAGTTCATCTAGTGGCCACTTGGTGTTGGTTCCCAAAGCCAATCGGTTCCCATAGTACCCATGTGTCCAACTTACCAGCATTAAAAAGCATCCCAAAAATCATTAGAAAATCTCCTCAGATCAATAAAAAAAACAGGATTTACAGTACAGGAATGTCCAGCTTCTGAAATGTATGTTTCTTTAAGATGTTAATACTTGGTTGGGAGCTCCATCACCACAAATTACTGCATAAATGTAGCGTGGCACGGAGGCAGTCAGCTTGTGGAACTGCTGAGGTGTTATTTTGACAGCAGCCTTCAGCTCTGCCTGCGTGTTTTTCATCTTCCTCTTCACAATACCTTCAAGATTCTTTATGGAGTTTAGGTGAGGTGAGTTGGCAGGACGGTAATAACATGGTCAGTGAACCATTTGGTAGCAGTTTTAACACTGTTCATCCTCTCCTGGAGGATGTGAATGATCCTCATCCGGGTAACCATTAAATCAGCAGTTTGCCAAATGATTGCGGCTGTATGTGCTAAACAAGGGTGAGAGATGTAAGGTGTTTATGCTGTTTGAATAGTAATTTATTGACATACTTAAATCTGAGATACTGGATTCCTGCTTTTCATGAGCTATTAAAAGAAAAAGGTGAAATATTTCTGTTTATGTGCACTGAATCTGTAAAATGTACATTTTTTTGAGACGCAGTAGTACAGTGTGTACCACAAACCTGTCAAATAAACATAAGGACGAGCAGAGAGATCGTCACACTGTGCTTATAGAGACCTGATCGTCATCTTTAATTTGTGTCAAACTTATGCCTTAATGAAAACTGCATCATGACATAGAGAAGAGGAAGCAAAAAAGAAGCAGCCCTAAGGCCGAGTGGTTTGGCTGTGAGGTGATGCGTGTAGAGAGCCGATGAGTATAGGAGAGAAGTCAATGTAAACCACTAATGATGCACAGCCAGTGTGCTGGCACAGCTCATAGGGCCTTGAATAACCACAGATCCTCCCTGTCACTGTTTCTCATTTTGATTCTGCCCATCCTCTGGCTGTTTCATAATTCGTACGCTCTTTGCGCCACGCTTATAATTTCTAAATTTCCCATCTGGTTTAAATTTCCTATTCTGGCTTGCAAAATATAACCAGCATTATGTTTTCCTCACAAAACACCCCTCTCCCTATCCTAATGGCAACTGTGCCTCTCTTTTTTTGTTTTGTTTGGTTTTGTTTTTTGTGGGGCTAAGTACTTGGAAGGGTGCTTGACATAACCGAGTAAGTCACAGATATCACTGTCAACACCAGATGAAAATGGACTGTGAAAAGCAGCGGGATCTGCAAAAGCTGTCCTTGATTGTGTCGAAATGCGACTTTGAAGAGGCGAACAAATTCATTTCACCCAGCAGCTTATCTTCCAGTTTGATTGTGTAACCCACCTGGAGCACATTAGAAATCAGAAAATGGCTCATCAAACAGTTCATGCTCAACCAGTATTGACACAATATTTATGCCAGAATTTGTCCCGTTCTGATTTTTACAGACAGTTTTATTTGTGTGGCGTTCCACGTGCATGTGCGATTAGTCTCCACACTTTGCAGTGCTCTTTTGTACTCATCTCTCTTATGTTTCAGTTACTGTGACTCGAGTGGTCAGGCTTTAGCGTTGCTCTGGCTCGCGTCTCTCTGCAGACCCTGTCCGGATCACAGCTGTGCCAAGAGTGTGTCATTATTTGGCCTAATTTGTGTGCCGGCAGCAATAAATGAGATTAAGCGTCACTAAAGCTGTGTTTACTGTTCTTTGTGGGAGAGAACTTTGGTAACCACCCTGTAGTTTCTCTTGCTTTGTTTACATCATCTTTGACACAGCTCGTTCATCCTCTTGCCTTCTCTTCCCATGCATAGGAGTGGGTGGCAACTTGGTAGCCATCCAGGCCAGCAGGATCTCTACCTATCTGCACTTTTGGAGCATCCCAGGGGTGCTACCCTACAAGATGAGGCAGCACTGGCCCAATCCCTGCATCACCTTCTTCTCCTCAGGTAATGCTGCCATGCGGTGGAAGCTCTCTAAACCAGAAATTTAAACGATTTAAGGAAACTGACTTTAAATGTCCTAACAGGCATTGGTAAAAAACAAATTCTACTAATGAGGGGCTGGAATCAAGCATTCTAGACACACAATCAGCCCACCCCAACCTGCCTGAACCCCAGGAAGAGCCAGCCTCTTCACGAAATCCAAACCCAAGAGCTACAGCCCCAGGGCCACCCAACAGGCCCCGCCACACCATAGTTTTAAACTCACTGTCTCACCACCATCATCGTCATTTTCAGCCAGAGACAAACGGCCAGCTCGTGTGAATGTGGGGCTTGATCTATTAGCTGACTGCAAATAAGACTTCCAAATATGCTGATGTCAATCAGAGTCTGCAGAATGTGTAAAAAGTCAGCTGTTGATGTCAGATTAACTATAAGTGGTGACAATATTGACAATGTGGAGCTTGTAAAATAACTCAGATTATGTTACATCATACAATCACAGTAAAGTTTAGACTAGAAGTTGGAGTCAAAAGATTGGTGATACAGATCAGTGGTTGATAACAAAAGGCACTATTTTCTTACATTTTCTGTCTCCCAGGGGTCAACTCAAAGTCAGCACGGGTGCTGTTGATGCTCGTTATACCCGGTCACCTGGTCTTCCTTTACGCCATCTCTCTGCTACAAGGAGAGGAGGCACCTATCACCATAGCCTTCACTGTCTGCTACCTGTGTGCTGCTCTGATACAGGTACACTGATTCAGCCCCATGCCACATACACTGTAAGAAATCATTTGGGTTTTCCTGTTGATGGTAGCCAACACTGAGCGGTTTCTCATGAACTCGTTGGCTCTCAGCTGACCCTCAAGTTTCCAATGACAGTCTGACAGAGACTGTGAAAACCAGTCATCAGAAGGTACATTATAGACTTAGACTTTGTACAGTCTGATCAAAATGGCCGCAACCACCTGTTACCAAAGTGTGAAATGACCTGTACCAGGTGTGTGTTTGAGCAGCTCACTGGGATAAAGAGTTGCTCCAGGATAGAGCAGAAAGTCCGGCGCAATCCCCAGCATAACATCATCTATCTTGTGTTTGGAAAGTCTGTGTTACTGAACAGAATTCTGTGTTTTGTCCTTTGATACCAAGTCAATAACAGTTTGGCACTCTCGGTAATCTCCTGGAGGTTCCAGATGTCAGATTTCCTAACAGCCCAAGCCCAGAAAAGTTGATTCCATTTCTAGGAAGCTTCATAGGACACTGCCACGGATCACAGATTTTTCAGCTGATAATCAAATACTTAATACAATCAATATAGACCATGTAACCATTTAACCATCACTTTTAGATATACATTCTAATCATCTGCTCCAACTATTCATCCACTAGGTTTTATTTTTTCCTCTCCAACAGCTGTTTGTTCTTTCTTTCTTTTTTATAAACAACTGTTAGAAAGCTGTTTACTTTTAGTTGTTTTAAACCACTTATCTTATCTTATTTATTTAAAGTCAGCTCTACTTCTACCACTTTAGGCATTAGTCACACCAGCCTAGAGACCAGTTGAAAACCCTGTCGCTCCCTCAGGTCGGTTTCAGGGGAAAATGCACGTTCTCCCACCGACTGGTGCGTGATCACCTGAGGTTGCTGGTTCAAATCTGTCTCAGAGAGTGTGGTGCACCAAAAATGTCCTGTTGCTTACTTTGGTCACTAGCACATTGCTGCGGTCGCCCAGTGTGCACGCTTGTAAATGCCGCACATGTTTAGATGCCAGACATTTGGTAACTAATCACAGAATGATACTGAAACTTAAAGTGTGCCACAAACTGGAAACAGAGAGCATTCACTATCAAAGTTAGAGCTGCGTCTTACAGTTTTTTCTGAATGCTTAAACCCTAACTGTGATTCTTGTAGCACAATCTCTAAAACTATTCAGACTTATAGCAAAACCACTCACTGAGTTTGCAAAACTAAAAGCACAAAAACTGCTTTGCACTCAGTTTGCAATTTTGTAACACACACTTTGCAAAACTGTAGGCACAATTCACTGCACAACACTCAATTACCAAATTTCCAACACACTCCTAGCAAAAGTATACACATGTATGGCTATCATTAACACTAATTTGCCAACTGTCTGGCACACTTTCACATGTGAAAACTTTTTTAGATAATTAGTTCACTTTGCAATCAGCCTAAGCACTATAATACAGGTAAGCTGTGTGTGCGGAGTACAATGGAGGGAGCAGAAAGAGTGAGAAGTAGAGGAGGCCGAGGAAGAGGACGTGGAGGTGAAGAAGTAGGATGAAGAGGACGACAAGGACAAGGAGGAGCAAGAGGAAGACGAGGAGGGGGGAGAGGAAGATGAGGAGGGGGGAGAGGAAGGGTAGGAAGAGTAAGAAATAGAATTGCTGATGACATCAGAGCTACAATAGTGGACCATGTAATCAACCGTGGAATGACCCTGAGGGAAGCTGGCCAACGGGTCCAGCCTAACTCGAGCCGCTACACTGTAGCAAGTACCATAAGGACATCTTGAAATGAGAATCGGTTAGTACAGTCACTTCGCACAAAGATTTGTAGCACTGCCATATGCCAATGAGAAACACACCAATACCATTGATGTGAAAATACTGAAATTGTTACTTTACAGAATTGCTAGATGACCAGATGCTGGGGGCAGAGGAAGCATGTTCACTGCAGACCAAGTAACCCATATAGTCATTATGGCGATTGCAAATAATCCTATACTTGGAAATGAACACTTGTGTTTGTTTTGATGTGTTTGAATAAACACCAGTACTTGAAGTTTGGATCCCTCTATGCTTATGGATCTATGACAGAAGTGTGAGCTCAAACTGACATAGCCTACCTTGTGCACAGAGAAAGCAAAAGCCAGATGTGTTTTGTATTCATACCATCAGTGTGCAGTTGGCGCATTGTGTGCTTAGTAGATGATGGCTTGTGTGTACTGTTTGATACGGAAACACCATTTTTACGAAGGTGTGACGAGTTAATCTAGCTGTGTTTGCTTTTGCAAGAGAACTACAATGTTTTGATTATTGGGTGACAGGTTTTCTTATTTGTGTGAAGAGTTTTGCAAAATTAGCCAATAGTTACAAAAAATGTGCTTAAGCAATCAGAAAAAACTGTAAGCTGCATCTGAACTAGAAGCAAAGCGCCAAACAGAGACCACAGACGGAGAATGACATTGGGCAACTAAAAGGAACTACGCATGACATAAGCATTAGTGATGGGAAGTGATCAGGACCTGGGATACACTTTTCACAAGTTCCAGGGAAGCACTGATTGGCATATAACTTGATAGTAAATGGTTTAGAGGACCACCTAGGCAACTGGATCACTAACTGATTATTCAGTTACTTTCTGTTCCAGCAGTTGATGATGTGCAGTTAAAAATCTCATTTAATTACCTCAAACCATTTTTTTTGTCCAACAGCTTGAGCTAACATTTAATACTTGATACTTTATTCTCTTAATCTTAATAATGTTACAGTTACTATTTAAATCATTTGCTTTACTATTTGCTGACATTTCCTGATTTCAACCATTGTTTTAGGGACAGATTTAACCATACTTTAACTATTAGCCATTTTTACAACTTTCCCTTAACCTTTAGAAAAGTCTAAGAAAAGCTTCTGGACTTCTTTAAATTCTTCAAGAAGCTTTTCTTTCCAAGCTCCTTAGACTGACCTGGATGACTGAGAACCTTCACAGACAACCTTTAGAAAACTATTCAAATTCCCCATCATTTTATTTTCAGTTGCTAAATATTACTATACTGTTACAACAGGTCTTTCAGTTTCGACAGTTGGGCCATTACATTCACCAACTTCATTCCTTTAGCCATACTTTCAACCGCCCATCTTTTCCTTTTAGCTGTTTAAATCATGTATATCATTAGATTATTTGTCCATTACTGGCAGCTAATAGTTAGAAAAGAAGCTAACTTTACAAGTACTCATTTTGACACTCACAGCCCAGTTGTCTTCTCTCTTCAGGTGGCTATCCTCCTTTATGTTGCTGACCTAATTGTCCGTTTGATGTGGAGACGGAGTCTGGACCCTGACAACTTCTCCATCCCGTACCTGACTGCCCTGGGAGACCTGCTCGGCACTGGTTTCCTGGCTCTCTGTTTCCGCTGCGTGTCAGTGGTTCAAAGCCTGGGTCTATAAACTGATTTTTTTTTTCCATTAAGAACTGAACTCTTAGCCTGCCACCATCGTATTGAACCCGATTTTTGTTACATTAACAAAAATGCTTTTGATTGGACAATAAAGCATTTTTGGATCTTTCCCACTGCGCCTGAGAAATCCGTATTTGTCACAATTCAAACCTTTACACTGATGGGAGGTACAGCACTGGTGACATCCACCCATTTACATCCATTCATCTGGATAGGTTATTCTGCTTGGACACATCCACTTTAAGCCTAGCAACCAATTAATCTTTTTTTTTTTTTGCCTAGCCAAAATGATGTCCTTCATTTTGAATTAATGTTGACTATGATTCCTCTGTTTCTTGGTCCTTATGTGGTTACCCTGCGTGGAATATGTAGCAACTTATCATAGTGGCATGACAGCAAGGTTTTGTTTTGTCTTTTTAAATCTAAGGGATAGAACAGACTTAAAGCAGCCCGTCTTTGGGTGCACTGCACTATGCATTGATTTTGGAGGATGGAGAAGATGATATATGTCACCGTATAAATGACATATGTCATACACTAACTCAGCAGTCCCCAACCCCCGGGCCACCGACTGGAATCGTTCGGTACGGGCCACGTGAGTTGAGGCTCAGGTGTGAAATGTATCGTTAACTCAGTGTCCCTGGGTCTTTTCCCATGTTTTAATTGTGAGACTTATTTTCAAAGAAATATTTATGCGTTACCATAGCGACCAGAGAGCATTAAGGGGCAGAGAAGAGGATGTTACTCTCAATGTTGTTGGCCCATTTCAGAAGGATGCTGCTAATAAAGTTACACAATTACACAGTGAATTCGCGTTTATTATTATACTTACAAAATACCACGGTTTTTGTCTTGGTCATATTATTTTATTTTGTTGTATTTATCCGCGACACCTTAAAGGCCGATCCGTGAAAACCTTGTCTGACACTAAACGGGTCCGTGGCACCAAAAAGGTTGGGGACTGCTGCACTAACTGGAATATAAAATAATGGGGAATGTTCTCATGATAATCTTCTTATCTCTATCATAATCCACAGAATGTACTTTATAAGGATTCTAACAACCAAAATAGACACCAGTCTTTGTGCGGATTTATAATGTTGAGATACTGAGACAGATGGACGGACAGAAATAATAACTGTTAAATGTTTGACATCTGTAAATCTTTTTTTTCTCTTGTCCACAATGCACAGCGCTCTCCTGAATATCTAATGTTCAGATTATGTAGAGCTTCTTGTTGGACATTCACTAGATAAATGTACAGTATCGTTAGCGTGCACATTAGGTCAATAAGCTAATGATTACGAGAAAGGAGATTGTTGTTCAGATTTCACATCATACTAGAAATTGTTAAAAATGTGTTTCTAAACACTGAAGTGTGAAAATGTGTGTGCACCTCTCACCTTGTGCGTCACGATCTCAATGTTCAGAAAGTGTTCTGCAATATTTTGATAGTTGTGAACTTTGTGCTGCCACTTGATGATTTTAAAAAACCAGACAGCTGCCTCTGGAATTCTCTCACTACTTGATATTACATCCCTTTAATGGAGGGTCAACAAAGCCTTACTATTCATAGTGATTTTTTTCAGAACCAGAAGACCTCATCATTACAGCAGTGAGTGCATACTTATTTTGTCTGTTATGGAAAGTCTTTGCACATATTGGACTTTAAGGTTTTAGCTCAGCTCTTGACCAAATCCAAAACTTACCTTTAACCCCAGTTCTTGGTCATAGTCTGTCTTGATATCCTTGATTTTCTTTGTCTTGTCTTAAAACCCCAAAATAGTAGAGTTCAGAAATATCCCACTCTTGTGGACACGTTTAATCCACGCTGGTATAATTTGCATCTGGTGTCACATTCTACCTGTGTTCACTGTGCCCTTTTTTAATTCACGTCACAGTTAAAGTCATGTTTAAGCTGCTTTATATTCAGACTTTGCACATTCAAATGTTCAATAAAACATAAAAGATAGAATCGGTAAAAGTTCATGACAGCATTTGGGTGACTAAATCAGACTGGCCCAAACTATGTCCTTGAGTTTCTGTTTGAGTTTACATGATGTTTCAAAATAACACTGAAACACGAATGTGTGTGTAGATGCACTCATTAAACACAAGGAGAGTTTCTCATTTTTCACGTGCATGCACTTTTCGAGTAAACCTCAGACATAAATGGGTTTCTGTCAACAACCTGTCTTCTCGGTGAACATTTATGTGAGGTACTGCAGTGTTAATAGGTCTTTGCTAAAAGCTTTTATTGTAACACTGTTAAGCACTAGGTGCATAAGAACAATAGATGTGTACTACTTGAATTCCAGGTTAGTCATCTGAGATTAGTGTATTAACTGTGATACTGTGAGATTTTAGACCACAGCTAAGATTGTGTTGTACCAGCACACAAGTGAGTCGTAACCAGTGTGGGTGAAGGGGCTGGATGATATAATTTAAAATTTGTCATTCGCATAACGATTAAGGTTAATATGACAGTTTTAGGAAATTAGTTATTTAGACTATTATGTTTGTTTGACTGTGGATTGTCTGCTGTTTGAATTTTTGACAGTGATCCAAATTAGATGCACATTTAATTTAAAACTGTTAAAAGGAAAAGTTTAGTGTTTTAATAAATTATTATTTTCAACTGCCATTTCTAAAAATGTAAAAGAGTAAAATATTTGGATAAGAAGGCCAATAAATGGATGTTGCTGGTAAAGCCAGAGTTGTTGTAGTAGTCCCCCCGCTTCATTCATGTTCACATGGACGACATATAAAATGATGTTCTTGTAGTCTACCGTAGGTGGCGTGATGTCTGCCAGGTTATAACAAATTAGAGGGTATTTGCATTGGGCCTCACTTGAGGGTCACCCTGTAACTACAAAATGCTCTGATCCAAAGTGGAGTCTCGCATACCTGCAGACCACTACACCAAATGGTTTAAAGAGAACAATCACAGATAAAAACATGGGAACATTACTTGAGCATTTAATTTGGTAATTTTATAAACATGGACCCAAGTTCTAGTGATGGCGATAACTTGTTCACAGTGCTGCCTTTTATCCCAGTTAAATGCTTAAACTGTAAAATGGAAAAAACTAACTATTTATCTATGTCAAAGGCAATCACCGTAATATGAACTTTAAATAGTGAAACACTCTGTACCTTAAAACTAGCATAACTTTATGCTTGTATAGCTCCCTATTGAGCTATACTTATATGTATAGCTCAATGTGTAAGGTATAGAATAAGTTTAACTGGCTTAGGTAAGCTAGCACCTGCTAATTACAGCTAAACCTTTAAAGTGAAGCAATGGTAGCAGTTTAGCTAATTGTTAAAGATAGCTAAATACTTGTTTGCTTTAAACTTTAGAGTGATAACTATTTATCTTAGCACTAACATAACCTAAGGACCTAGTCACACAGTCTGCAACCATCTGGCAACAACCAAACATGTATTCTCTGATCAGTTGTGAATTGCTGTGAGAAGTCACTGTGAGGTTGCTTGCTCAGCTCATTTCATACGGGCCTAGAGACCAGGGCAGCGTGCATTCGACTGGCAACTGGTTTCTCTGTATTGTGTGCAGTCACTAGCATGAAAATGATTGCAGAAAGATATATGGTACTGCACCAAAAACCTCCTTGAAATTGCTTTAGTCACGAGCAGATTGCTGCGGTCTTCAGCAAATTGTCCAGAAGATGCTGACTTTTAAAAACTATTCGACAGGTGGTAGTGAAACTGGGAAGACAGGGTTGTCCACTAGTCTCTAGGCTTGTGTGAGTGAGGCCTAAAAATCTACAAGTTATAAACAATGAAAACGAACATTAACTGCTAATATAATATACCTGCTAGCTATTAGCTCAACTTAGCTCACTGCTAAATGGCTTTTAATTGAGAGTGGTCAGTCTTTGCATCTAGCTTTTTGCAAGAAAGCAAACCTCTATTTTATTCATTTCTTTTTTAGTGTATCATCCAGCCCTATTGGACAGTATGGAGTGCAACTGGAACAAAAACATCTGACTGCAAACTTGCACTGTGTTTTATTAGTAGTCTGAAGTTGCCTTGAAAGCAAAAATGTCAACCATGTTGTAACTAAAATCTCGTCTACAAGCATCTCAATGTTAAAAAAAACAAAACAATCTGTATTTAAATGTTGCAACAGTTCTTTGTCTTTTCCTTTACCTTTGTCAGAGCTTGTACTGTACTTCAGTGTTGACACTGCCACGTTATGACGTTAGGGCCTTTTTAAAGCGCCTTTATTTTCTAATCTTGCTGTGTTCAGTTCTTCAAGCTTCCATACCTACACTGTGCTGTCTTATGTGTCTGGAGATTAAAGCAAAATTGTTGGTGAGTGTTAATGTGACTTTGTGGCTATGAACAGTTCTATTTTAATAAAAAACTAACAGACTAATTTCCGATTGTCTGTGGCATTATCATACAAATAAGAAAAAAAAAAAAGTCCCGCTACTCCAGCATGTGTATGGTTTTTAAAGTTTGGGGCAGTTTTACTATTCCTACTGCTGAAAGTGTAAAGAATGCACGAACAGTGATTTTTGCACGAGTTGCAAAAAAACCACACAAAATATAGTTTCTGCACAGCTGTGTTCAAATGGCGTTCAACTATAGGACAACTGTCATAATAATAAAGCAGACACACACAGCGCTGTCATTGTGGGTTTATATTTTTTTTAAAACTTCAAGGTAACCAGTCATTCACTATCACATCAGCAAGTGCACTTCAGTTATCAGATTCACAGCTTGGTGTCACAAGTGCATGAGAGATTCTTTCAGATTGTGCTCTGTTTGCCGTTTCACAATGACTCACCATGACAAAGATCTGACTCAAAGAACATTTCTACAGAAAATGGTTTTCTTTGGCTAGCTGTGTCCCACACAGCAGCGTCAGGGCATCTGAGATGAAAACTTAGCAGATTCTAAATTAAAAGGTGAAACATACATTTTGTGCAGTAGATCATAAAACAGAAGAAAAAAATAAAGTGTGTAATCAGGTTTTGCCAAGTTGCAGCTTCTTACAAATTACGACTTAAATTACAAACTGCTATGCAGGAAAGCATTGGAAAGGAACACCCTGTAATCCATGGCTGGAATAGAAAAATAAAATATGGCACAAAATTAAGGCTTGAATAAAGACAACTTTTAACACGTACTAATATTGCACTTTTCAAAGCGTAATTACAGGAAAATAATAAAGGTTGGCACGTGTCTGACTAAATTAAACATACTTTATAAAAGAAACAGAAGGATGTGCAGATAAGAATAAACAGCCAAAGCTTCAGTGTACACAGCAAACTGTGGGTGTGTTTTTTATGGAAACGTTCGCATCTGTTGTTTTGAGATCATGTCTCAAATATCTACAAAGACTAAGTAATCCCAGCTCTTAATCTTGATAAACTGTAGCACTGAGATATTCAGATTATTGTAAGGAATCAAAGCACTGTTTGGTTTGATTTCAGTTTATTCGTCTAAGAGAGATCCAAATCTCTTATCTTGTGCCCAATTATTGTTGGTTAAAGGCACCTTGAAATGCCTTTGGGAGTTATTTTTAAAGCATAATCTAATCTTCCTATAATTTAAGTGGACGCTGGGATATAAAAAGATATGTATGGGTATACAAACTGTCTCTCACTTATAGTGCTTGCAAGGAAATATCTGAGGTAATATGAATTTTAAACAAGTTATTTTTATCTTTGGCAAATATTTCAAGTCCATCTTGAATGCATATTTTGTCTTCAAAGAGTTAATGAAGGTCAAACAGTGTATTGATCATATTTACTGAACGAGGCCTGTTCGGTGACCGTAGTTGGATTAAACCTTGGTGTGCTTGCCTACAGCCCAACAAGGGGAGCTCTGACCAGGGCTAGTCCTGGGCTGGACGCAGCCCTGACCACAGCTATGTGGTTGTTTGTTCAGCCTACCTGCTCAGAGCTAAATACAGGCACACGATAGATGAGGGACGGCAACACACTTTTACTGGAATGAGGGAGCGTCTACGACTGGAAATCACTCTGGGATCTGTGGGAGCCGGTGTGAACGAGAGCTGCGAGATTTGTGCAGTTTTAAAGCAGGAGGCTGATGTGGTACGCTCTGACGGTTTCCTGTTATAGCATCGGTTAATGTGCAAAAGCTGACATGGCAAAAAGATATTGACTCTGAAAGGGAAAAGCCTTTTGTTCTTTAAGAAAAGAAAATCATTTCCTCTGGGAAAAAAAAATGAGCCCGACATCCTTGCTCTCCAAAACAATAAATACTGACATAAATAAAAGCCTTCCTAAGAGACGGCAACACTGTGCTCAGTTTCACAGTCAGCACATTTACCTGTGAGAAGAGAACCTGCTCCTCTCAAGTTTCATTTCTGGCTCACTACCTCTCAGAAGATGCAAAAACAAAGAAAAGAAATCTGTAGCGAGAGCTGCAGAAAAATGCTGATGAGGCACATTTCACCAGCTCTACAACTCTCAAACTAAAGTCAAAGCAAGGCTTGCTAATTTTGATGAAGCAAAACTTTGGCAAGAAATTGCAACAAACACAAAAAGGATCTGTTTATAAAGAGATGATGTGTCACCTGCAGTCTGCTGTGCTAAAGACAAACTCCATCCTCACTCAGTAGATCACAGCACACACACCATCTGTCTTCTTAGGCAGTTTTTAGTTTCACTTACTGAAACCAGAAAATCCAGTCACTCTCCACAGCCGTTAACTGTTTTCCTTGGAGAGTCCCAGTGTCAAGTCTCTGCTTGTGGTGGACCACTCCGAGGCAGGGAGCGACACAAAAGTGCCTGAAAGGACAAGTGATGCTCATCAAGTCCTGAGATACTCTGGTGTGGAGTAGTTGAAGAGCATGAAGTCCATGCGATACAGATTGAACAGTTTTTTCTGATAGAAAGGACTGATGTGCTTAAAGTAACGCCCCGCCATGTGGCCGTCTGTCCTGGTCGTCTTGCCGGACGTTGGAAATTGAAGCATCCCCTCCACTCCGGCCAATCTGAGCACGGCCTGAGCATCGGGCTCCAGAGTCTCGTATTTCCCCACCACGTCGTAGTGGATCAGGCAGGGGTGGCAGAGGGAGTGCACCCGCTCCCAGTGCTCGTTGAAAGGTTCCTCCCGTTGCGTCCGAGGGTCCACAAGATACTGGACAAACTCAGGGAAAGTCACATCATCTCCTTTCTCGAGGGCTTCCGGCTTGGCGTTGGGCCTGTGCCGGCGGATGATTTTAGTTCCGTAGCGTTTGTGGAAGGCAGTGTTGTACCTGCGCGTGAATTTGTTTCTGTAGGCTGACACCAGCCGCTCAAAGGGCTCCCGCACAAAGATGAACTTGAGGTAGCTGCGAAGGCGCTGGTTGATCTCCGCGACCGAGAACTCCGAAAGCGTGCGGAGGTTACCTGCGACGTGGGCCTCATTAGCGGGGATGGCGAGGGGGTCGGTGTAGCGGCCGTCGCTGGTGAGGACCATGAGGACACGCTTCCAGTTAGTGCAGGCTACCTGCAAGTCAGAAAAGGAAACACCTGTGAAATAAAAACATGCACCTGTCTCCCTCTATCATCATCCAATCCGCTCACATTCTCTCAAACCTCTTTCATTTCATCTGTACGTGCTTACCAACCTTGGGTACATAGCAGTAAATAAGGCCGTGCATGTCGTCAACAATGAGGTGTTTGAGATCCTCGGGCGAGAGCACGCGGCGCTTCCTCGTGTGGCTCAGACATGCCTGCTCCAGCAGCTCCCTGCGGCCTTGGAGGGACTTGTGAGCTGCCAACAGCTCCAGCTGCTTGTGATGAGGACGATGCAGAGAGAGAAAGAGAGGCACAAACAACTTTCAACAAAAGCCTTTTAAAAACTGCTGAAGGCCAGCTGTCAGTATAGAGTTTAACTCCTTCAAGGATTTTTGAATGTTTGAATGTTAATAAGCAGCTTGATACAAATTTAAAGTGATTTAACTAAATGCAGCCTAAGTGTTCATTTTTCATTATGTTTAATACTACAGTGTTAAACATACTGAGCTTTAGATGTTGCAGTTGGTACAGTCTGTACAGTGAAAGTGAAACTTGCTACCTACTAGCTGTAGCCCTCAAGTCACACTATGTGTGTGCGATTGTGTGTGTGGTGGGACAATATGTGCCATTGTTCTCACCTGGTCTCCATTATAAAGTGTCTGCAGCGGACTTGTCCTGCTTTTTCCTGGTCTGGTGACAGCCTTCAAACCAGCTTCTGCTTTTAAACAACAAACATGTTTTACTAAAATGGACACTGAAACCTCTGAGACGTGAAGTGGACAAAACTGATCATCTCGCTGATCACATACTCCAGAGTGTCTCTGCTCCCAGGTCTGAAAAGTGACAGTAATTCAGTGGTGCCTTAAACCTGCACTAAATAATATTCAGCATTGGGGAAACTCATTTGGGTGCAAAACAAAGAATGACTGTGTAGAAGTGTATGTGGAAACAACCTGTGAAAGCTCTCGTTTGGGTGATCTGAGTAAAGTATTTCCTGACTGAATTTTAATGGAGGACGTTCATTTCTGCCTCTGCAGAGTCGCAAAGGAGGACAAAGCAGTTAGCGCTTCAAAGCATTAACGGCTATGAGTACTAAAAAGTGCATTAATGTTGCTTAATACTCCCCAAGGCTGTGGTCTCTCCTAGCTCCACCACGCAACAAAAATTGTCCAAATAAGCAATGAAGCCTAGAAAAAATGCCAAAGCCTTTGATTATAAACTCCAAACTCACCATACACCGCTCTGATAAATGCACTGGAACAAACCCAATCCATGAAGGTCCTGCCCCATAACCCACAGGACTCACTCTGCACCACAGGACACCTCCAGAGGTCCTGCATTCATTCTGATGGATCAGAGTTGTTCTGCAGCAAGTCTGCTGCATGGTGTGTCATATATCCACAACCACTGATTTAAGTGTAACCACTTCACTGTTATTTTTTCAAAATTCAGTCTGCATGTAGGTGACTAATGAGAAACAGCGTCTCATATATTTGCACAAGTTTAAATTTCGCTGTAAAGATGTCCAAATGGAGTTACCGACAGAGCCAACTTTCCACCCATCTGCTGGTCCCGTTCAGTCATGATGTGATCTCCCACCATTCATTTATACTATAGATTCTATAAAACTCCAACACCTACATTATTAACACATCTCTTTTAGCCTCTCTTTGCTTTAAGAAGACCTTTACCTGCTCACAAACACACACAACAGTTAGCTGTGGACGCGAATGATGTTAGGCTGACCTGGACGATCTGCGAGAGTCTAGATACTTGTGCCCTTCCTCCTTCTTCAGCCTCTGTAAACACATCTGTCCTCTTCTTCCATTCCTCTATGCCACCCTCCACACCCCCTCCCTGCAAACACAGTGTTAGTGTTTAGGTCTGCAGCTAATGGCACTAAAGTGAGAACAGAAATTTGTTTTGCACATGTGGCTAAATGATGCAGAGGGCTGCTTTATATCAGGCACAACGCCAGAGTAAGACAGAGGTAAGTAGATGTGGGAAGTGTGCTTTATGCAGTTTAGCATTTTGGGGGGAGGGGTGTCTCCATACCATCTTATGGAAAGAATATTAACCAGCAAGGTGAATGGCTATGCTGAAAGTATGGAATCCAGATGGAGACGGAGGCCATTTCCCTCCTACTGTGTCTCTTCTTTTCTGCTGAACTACATCAAACAAATAAAATTGAACCCCTGCTGTTCTGAAATGTTTAAAAACCCATCAGCTGTGCATTCTGGTCTGACAAAAACACTGTCACATGTTCCAGATTGACACGAAGCTGTAAATCATAACTGCTTCCTTCCATTTTGAGGAAGAAGCAAACACAAAAAGGAGAACAAATGGTGACAGAGCAAATGTGTAATGTGCACTCACACAACAAGAAGACGGCGTATCTCAGCTCAAGGCAGGCAGAGGCTGTGGAGACACAACCTCTGCCTGGGCCACAGCCTCTCTGCGTGAGCTCACATGAACCATCAAAATCCTCCACTTCCTCTGGGTAATCTGTGCCACATCATCAGCAACACGCACAGATAGACATCAAGTCTTCCTGGACTCACTGGATACATAACGAAAATCCACACCAGGCCAAAAGAAAGAACATGTCATTTCTGATATGATTTTGTCTAAACCAGTAAAGATGTTTTTTGTCAGCACTCAGGCTAAAAGTCACACTAACTGCAAAGTGGCATCCTGTAGATGTGAAACACTAAGGCTTTAAAATAAGACGGCAACTTTGAGAGATTTCTAATTAAAATACATAAGGCATATGAGACCTCAGTCTACAGCACAGGTCCACAATTATTAAGCAGATAAGCCTTTAGCAAACCCAGGACACTTCCTCAGGAAGCTGGAAAGTAGGTCAAGAGACACTTGTGGAGGGTTTGTTAATAGTTTACTGTCTGTTTTGAGCATAAACGCTACATGGACATGAAATGTTTGGGTTTTCTATCCATGCCAAAGTCACGAGGAAAGCTCAGGAAATGGCAAATATAGGCCACAATCCAATGTCAACAACTGGATCATCAGCTCCACTCAATACATGACACAAGTGTCTGAGGAGATGCACTCAGTGAGACTGAAAGCAGGGAAAGGGGAAACTAGCATGGCCATAAATGGCAGTAGTATGCAATAGGCACTCTCAAGCCTACATTCTGTTGCTGACACAGACACAGTCACTGTCTGATGATGAAATTTATGTCACACAAGCCCAAGTGGACTCGTGGATGTGGAAACTAAAAACCCACTTCACACTGTGCTGAAGTGAGACAACAGCAAATAACTCAGTTAAATAATGTTAATATGTGTTTTATTATTTTAATAAAACACACATGACCTTTTATATCACCTTTTTTAGATCACCTTTTCATAATAATTTTGTATTTATTTAAAAATGTTAGGCAATCAACATTCAGTGGACTCTGACGCTGCCTTACACACACCTGAATGATTACTGGTCTCAGAGCAAGGAGCATAGCTATTATAGTTTAACACTAGTATTAGATCACTGCTCACATATCTACTCAGAAAAACACACTTAGCAGATATCCACAGTCAAGGTATCACTATCATGGCAGAACTGGAAATGTCAGATATTTGAATATCAAATTATAAAACTTTTAGCTGGACTACAGGCTGTGAGTCAGTCAGTCAGTGTGTAATGTTTAAAGAGCTACTCGATGGATAATCGTGACATGTTGTATAAATCATTGTGGATCCCAGAAATCTATTCACCAGCCTGTCAAACACAGGACTCGGGCTGTTATTTATTTCCTCTTTGTGCCAAGGACGCATTTGTTTCTTTATTCTTTTTCTATTATTAAGACAGACTCTTAATATTCACTGACTGCCAAATTGATGTGAACAGAGAAACCCCGGTCACTGCTATCTGTGCAGCCAAAAAATATCATTTCCCTCAATACATTAGTTTGTTTTTGTGGTTTGCAGCTGATAAGCACAGTTGCAATATCTAAGTCAAGTTTGTAGTCAACATGACACACACTTTACTTGCATAACTTCTAAATATGGGTGTATACGGTCCACTGGTGTGTATTACCAATACAAATGGCTCTAAATTGTTCAATCATGAATTCCTCTATTAGGCCAACTTTTCTGATATTTTATAATACATCACATGACCACGAATACATCTGTGGTTACTATGCTCTGATCATTGTGAAGCTTAGTTTCTTTTTTTCTTTTTTTATGTGTATGTGTGTGTAGAGTGTTCTATCACACTCCACCAGAAAACCACCACTTCCTCTCATATCAGGAAGTGACAACATACCCATAGCTGAAGAGGAGCAGAAGAGGCCCCAGTCTCATTACATGCAAAAAGCCCTTGTGGGACTTGGAATAATGGCAGTTTTGTCCCCACTCTACAAAGGCAAATCACAACCCTGCTTTACTGGCAAAGAAGCTGCTTCCTCTTTTGGAAACCTCTTCACCTCTATGATCATAATGCATACAAGGCACAGAAAATTATGCTGCATCACTTGTACTGCATGGGTGTATAATTCAGCTTAATTGCACTTCAAAAGAAGGCCTATCTTTATTAGTTTCCATGAGCTGTAAGAAAGAGGAAATGTAATGTATTTTATGTGAAGTAAATAAAAGTCTGGCTCACCAGCAGCTGACAAAGGCAGGGAAGACTACAGCATTATCAAGACTAATGTGTCACCAGGCAGAGTCTGATTCACGGTGTCACAACATTCATGTGCTACAGACTGCAGATGTTGGTGATTACACAAACTAGATCTGGTAGTTTTACAATAAGTGACACTAGCGAGCTGGCAGCCGCTTTCCATTTTAATCTTATTCTTCTTACTTTTACTTGCACACCTCTTACAAACATTCAGCAGATGCACTGACTAACCAGTTCCTGTAAGTCATCACATCCTTTTTCACCTGAAAAACCTGAAAAATCTGATGTCAGACTTGAGGTTCGCTTGAAATGTATCTTCTCTGAAACAACATGTAGCATGTAATGAACTGATCTATCTGAGACATCACTGCAGCTAACAGTCTGTCGATGCATCTGCCTTTATTGTTTCTACACCTCTGCCCATCTGTGTTTCAGCACGGTTCATTCAAAAGTCTTTTTTACGTTCCAGTAATTTCAGTGAAACCTCACATCGTTCGACATCCAACTCCAGCAACCGTCAGCTCGGCTTTGTCAGTATTCTTACACAAGAAGAAGCTGAACACGTCTGATTCATAATTACAGAGCAGCACAGTTGTGTAAAACATGTCAGATAAAGTGAGGCATACTTCAGTACAGCTCCAGTTTGAACTAATCTTCTGTCTCCTGATGCGACTGTTGAGAAAATGTTCAGACGCTAAGATGACATTGTGTTTTTTATGAACTCGAACAGTTCATAAAAAACACAATTTAAGGTTTGGGTACACGCACTGCTGCCACAAACAGAATCCAATCCTGTGTGAACCTCTGCATTAAGACCAGTGCACTCCGGTCTCTTACACAGATCTAAATGTTACAAACACATCAGCGCTAAAAAGCTAAAAACATGGCACCAATGCAGTTTAAGCTGACTATAAATAACTTCACCTTTATGTACTTAAGACACTAGCCTTATTAACCATATTAACACCTTTTACATTACAATACTAACACAGCACAAACTGCCAACAGGTGTAGCACATGGTGTGATGTGCTCTCTAATGAGCTGTTGGCTCTGTTGGAGACCTTAAAGACAT